GTGCACTGAATTTATGAATTTAGGCCTTAATTTATGGAAGGGCAAATAAAGTGAAGTGACATGTGGCCAAGTATGGTGACCCAAACTCGGAATTAGTGCTCTGCATTTATCCCATCCAAAGTGCACACACACAGCAGTGAACACACACACACACCATGAACACACACACACACCGTGAACACACACCCGGAGCAGTGGGCAGCCATTTCTTTGCTACGGCGCCCGGGGAGCAGTTGGGGGTTCGGTGCCTTGCTCAAGGGCACCTCAGTCGTGGTATTGAAGGTGGGAGAGAGCGCTGTACATTCACTCCCCCCACCTACAATCCCTGCCAGTACGAGACTCGAACCCGCAACCTAACCATTAGGCCACGACTTCCCAAATTAAGACTCTTTAAGACCATTTTGAAACCTGCAGAAACCCTGTTATCGAACATTGCTGTTTTCATGGAGCTTTTACTAAAGATCATGACTTGACAGTTTATTCTCCAGCAGGGGGCCGAAAACATCCCCATGCTGTAGCAAAGCTGCAATACTGCGATAGCATGGAAAAAGGCATGTGCAACCTGTAGTAGAAATTGAGGAAAGTTTGAGATGACAAGCCATCAACCCTTAAAAACACACATATACAAAAAAATTATTCTAAAAGAATAAAGACTTTTATTAAGCATTGTAAGTTGCATTCTTTTTCTTTCAAATACATCACACCACAAACCATCAACAGTCACTCAAACCCAACAGTAGTTCATTCTTTTACAAGCCATAAGTTAGGAAGAAACTCCGATCAACTTACGTCAAGGTAACCTACTTAGACTTGCGGCAGGGGACTGAGGGGAATACACCATATTTCTGATCACTAATGTGCAATAAAAAGCATCAGGATTAGATGGAGAAGTAATGATTCTCATTTAGAAGTACGTTTATAAATTCTGAAAACACTAAAGTAAACATCAAAATGATTACAAGTGTACTTGCTTAGGCTAAATTCTCAAATGGGAGGGTCAAACGTTTCGCAAAACTTGTTCTGAGCTAAGAAAAGGGGGGAGAATTTAAGATCGAAGCCATTTTTTTAACGATTTTTTTATCTAGTATGAATACGGAAAACAGCAACAGAGAACAATAATGTATACAGTGATGAGTACACCAGGATTAACAATATTTAAAGTGGCTAAATAATGTTGGAGTAAATACAACAGAGGTCAATAAATCACAGAAATAATAAACTTAAGGTTAGCGCAAATCAGTTACTGACTAATCATTAACACCTTTTATAGGACTATTACTGATTATCAGCTTTTTTAAATTTTGCAGATGGGCACGGTATTTGTAATGAAGGAAGAAATAGGACAACATGCATTATAACTACACACCATTTTGTTTGTTTGTTTTTTCTTTTAATCGTGAGCCATGCAGAAAGTTTAGCTGAGACAGTTTTACTAATGTGCTACGTTTGATTCAACAAACCACTGATGCATGGCATTTTCTGACACGGAAAGAGACATTGGTGTTTTTCAAGAGCTAATTTGCAACTCGTGAGATCTGTCTAACCATTTCTTGACATTACCTATAATCGCTAATGTATGGCATATTAAAATCATCAGAACTTAAGATGCAGCAGTAATACTAGTTACTCAATGTCAAAACAACCGCACATTTAAAACACAAGTAAACTCACAGTGACGACACGTGAGAAATGCGTTCTTGGTTTTGTCTTTCAAATCGTGAGTTTTACGTTTTCAAACAATAAAAAAGCATTTACTGTGACAATACAAACTCAATTACAATGGCAAATATATATATGGTCCTTGAATCTCAACTTACTAAAACTAAAAGACTGGCAAATGAAAATCGGTATTTAGATTTCTGCATTTCATCGAGAAAGTAAAATCATTTCATGTAACCAGTTTTGAAACACGTAATATCATTGACGAGGGAGAACACCGTCTTTCATCATTAAACTGGTACGATTCTCTATATGACTTGTATATTTATGTTTTACCGAGAGGTTTCCTCATCATTACTTTGTGATTGGTTTAACTCGCTGATGTCGAAGAGGGATTTCAAAAATTCGTAAGTCCTCATTTATCGCTTTCGGAGAGGAAAAAATGTACACCAACTGTAGGTCTTCCATCCTTCCAGATATTCCTTAACACGTAACCTTCCATCAACCTTCACCCTCTCTATAAAAATAGGTTTACTCTTCTGTTTTTAAGACAGCGGCGCCCAGAGCTTCATCTCTGCAGCCCTCGCCATCTTCATTTAGTGCATTTAAATGAGGATTAGTATTGCACATCTTAGATTCATTGCTAAAGGCACTTTCAGGTTGGTTTGTAGCCCTACTTTCCCCTTCGTTCCCATTGAGCTGGTCTGCCTCTTTACCCTCCACCAAGCCGTTCTCTGCTGCTGTGGACCCTTCTAAGGGCAGATGCGGTGTTTTGGTCACCAACTTCGGCTCCATTCTGTCTTTTATCACTTCATTGGTTGAGGCAGCATATGCAGGCTTGCTCTGTTAAAATTAATTTTGCAACATTTTTTACTGTCAGTATCCATCAATCCGATCAAAAATTATGCCATCACTGATTTTTGAAGAATAACCACACCCTGCATTTTAATAACGTAATCATACAACCCAGGACATGTGACCGCTGCAACTGATAAACTATGATTCAAAAGTTTGTGGTCAGTAAGATTTTTTAAATGGTTTTGAAACAAGTCTCTTATGCTGCATTACCAAGGCTGCATTTATTTGATCAAAAATACAGTAATACTATGAAACATAATTAAAAATAACTGATTTCTATTTTAGTAACTTTTAAAACAATTTATTTCTGTGATGGCTTATACTGATTTTTTTAGCAGCCATTACTCCAAACTTTTGAACAACGGCATATGTATTCTTGTTATTTTAAAATGTAGGAAACAATAAGATTCACCTGGTATGTTCCCTGACTCTTGAACCCTCTAGTGTGGTATTTGGTTCCTCGACCAAAGGTCCTTATAACAGGAGTAGAAATCACACCTCTTGGACGACTGTTCAAAGAAAAGCAATCAATTTAAATTATCAAAAAAAAAAGTGAATGAGCAAGTAAGTCAATTTAGAATACAATAGGGCTAAGAGAAGCATTACTAAGAGTAAATATAAAAGTATTAAACATGATATTACAGGACAGACAATTACAAACATGTCAATGCAAGAATTTATCTATAAAAACAGGCAGTAAAAAAATTATTGAAAATGTAATGCTTACCCTCTGGTTGGTCCACCAACTGACACCACCTGTATGGGAAACGAGGCTCTTCCTCTTCCACGACGACTACCAGCCCATTGACCCACCACTGTGCCTGCAATCTCAAGCTTACCACCCTGTGAGGGGATGGCTTGAAGCCCCACTTGAGAGGAATGAAATGAACTTTAATAACTCTTAAGCAACTCCATCCTTTAAAGTCCAATTAAACAGGTTTAGCTGCTTCAGCTAATCACATTTAAGAGAGGAATGTATTTTGAGCCAGATCTTCACAATGAATAGGGGTGTGCGATATTGACAAAAAATAATATCTCGATATTTACTGGGATTTTATCAATAACGATAATTAGACAATATTTTGCTAAGTGTGTTATTGTGCTAGTATCTTAAGGACTACCATGAACAGCTGACTCCTAAAGTTTTTGATATTCTTCATATTCTGTGTGGTGGTAAGTTCAACTTCACACTGATAGAAATTAATATTTTCCAATAAGTTTTAAAGGGGTCATATGAGGCGATTTCAATTTTTCCTTTCTCTTTGAAGTGTTACAAGCTCTTGGTGCATAAAGAAGATCTGTAAAGTTGCAAACACTAAAGTCTCAAATCCAAAGAGATATTCTTTATAAAAGTTAAGTCAACCACGCCGACCTAAAACGGCTCGTTCTAACACGCCCCCACATACCTACGTCACGATCTGGGAAGATTTGCATAACACCGCCCAAATGTTCACACAAAGAAAGAAGGCATAACTTTTATTCTCACTGTAGTATCGTTGCCGCTGCAGCCATGTCGTGAAGACACTGTGTGCTACGTTGTGAAAGCGAAACTACTTTGTTTGGCCTTCCAAAAATGGACACGACTAGAAATCAGTGGTTAAGTTGTATTTACAACAACGTTCCAGAACAGTTCAACCCAAATATTCAGATGTGTCCAGCGCATTTTATGGAGGACTGTTTCCTGGAAGAGTAGACTACAATGCCGGCTGTTCTGACTCACAGAATGTAAGTACATTTTCATTTAAAGGATTTGCCACTGACGATTCAAACACGAGTTTTGAGCAGTGTAGAGTAGCACTTGTTGTTTGTCATTTCTCCAATCACAAATGCAGACATGGTTTTATGTTGCGCTCCGGCCGGACGGCATCACAATATGGTAAGGGGCATAACATTTCCGTC